GTTCCATGGTCATGGATTGGAAGAACAAATATTGTTAAAATGTTGATACTACCCAAAGCAATCTAATTTAATGCAATCCCTACCAAAATAACACCAGCATTCTTCACAGAGCTAGAACAAACATTCCTAAAATTTGTATGGAACCAAAAAAGACCCCAAATAGCCAAAGCAATCCTGAAAAAGAAAACCAAAGCTGGATGCATTACAATCCTGGACTTCAAGATGTATTACAAAGCTGTAATCATCAAAAACAGACAGTATGGTACTGGCATGAAAACAGAAACTCAGATCAATGGACTAGAATAGAGAACCCAGAAATGGACCCACAAACATATGGTCAACTAATCCATGATAAAGCAGGAAAGAATATCCAGTGGAATAAAGACAGTCTCTTCAGCAAATGGTGTTGGGAAAACTGGACAGCAACATGCAGAAGAATGAATCTGAATCACTTTCTTACACCATACACAGAAATAAGCTCAAAATGGATGAAAGACTAAACATAAGACAGGAAGCCGTCAAAATCCTAGAGAAGAAAGTAGGCAAAAATCTCTTTGACCTTGGCCACAGTAACTTTTTACTCAACACATCTCTGGAGGCAACGGAAATAAAGCAAATATGAGCTATTGGGACCTCATCAAGATAAAAAGCCTTCTGCACAACAAAGGAAACAATCAGCAAAACGAAAAGACAACTGATGGAATGGGAGATGGTATTTGCAAATGACATATCAGATAAAGGGTTAGTAACCAAAATCTGCAAAGAACTTATCAACTCAACACCCAAAAAACAAATAGTCCATTGAAGAAATGGGCAAAACACGTGAATAGACACTTTTCCAAAGAAGACATCCAGATGGCTAACAGACATATGAAAAAATCCTCAACATCACTCATCATCAGGGAAATACAAATCAAAAGCACAGTGAGATACCACCTCGCACCTGTCAGAATGGCTAAAATTAACAACTCAGGCAACAACAGATGTTGGCAAGGATGCAGAGAAAGGGGATCTCTTTTGCACTGCTGGTGGGAATGCAAACTGGTGCAGCCACTCTGGAAAACAGTATGGAAGTTCCTCAAAAAATTTAAAACAGAACTACCCTATGACCCAGCAGTTGCACTACTAGGTATCTATCCAAAGGATACAAGTGTGCTGTTTTGAAGGGGCACTTGCACCCCAGTGTTTATAACAGCACTATAGATAAAGAAGATGTGGTATATAAATACAATGGAGTATTACTCAGCAATCAAAAGGAATGAAATCTTGCCATTTGCAGCAATGTGGGTGGAGCTAGAGGGTATTGGGCTCAGCCACGTAAGTCAGTCAGAGAAAGATAAATATCACATGATTTCACTCGTATGTGGAATTTAAGAAACAGAAGAGATGAATATAGGGGAAGGGAAGGAAGAATAAGACAAAAACAGAGAGGGAGGCAAATTGACAGAGAACAAACTGAGGGTTGCTGACCAGGTGTTGGGTGGGGGATGGGCTAATTAACGAGGACACATTTTGAAAATGAGCACTGAATGTCATATGTAAGTGGTGAATCACTAAATTCTGCTCCCGAACACTTATTACATTATATGTTAACTACCTTGGATTCAAATAAAATTATTTAAAAAATTTTAAAAATTCTTATTAAAAAAGATTTTTTAATGTTTATTTATATTTGAGAGAGAGTGTGTGAGCAGCAAGAGTGAGAGGGGGACAGAGGATCCAAACCAGGCTCCAGGCTCTGAGCTGACAGCACAGAGCCTGATGCAGGGCTTGAACTCAGAAACCATGAGATCATGGCCTGAGCCAAAGTCAGACGCTCTACTGACTAAGCCACCCAGGCGCCCCATCAGTTCACTTTTTATACAGCAATTGATAGCTTTAACAAGCCCCATCTTCCTCATCCTATTCAAACCACTTAGCCTGCTTTGTTTTTCCCCATAGTACTTATAAAATTCTATTATACGTTTATGGGTTTCCTTGTTATTTTCTGTCTCTTCCAGCTGGAATACAAGGTCAGAAGAACCGAAGTTTGTGGCTGTATCCACAGCACCTACCCATGCCTCCCAGGTATTTGTTCAATGAAGAAATTCATGTCTCCCCATCAGACTGTAAGCTCCCTGAGGTTGGAAACTGGTCTGTTCTGACAATTGCTGGGCCTCTGGAACCCCAGCAGCGCCCCAACACAGAGAGGGGGCTCGGTGCAGGTGAAACGAGTGATTCTTTTCTTCTGAGGAACAGGGAGCCAGAGGGGGCACGGAGGCACGTCTGAGTTCATCTTTTTCAGGGCTGCATCCTCAGATGCTCCTGGGAGCCAGCTGGGAACATAGGTCCGCATCAGGCCAGCCAAACTATAAGGCAGTTGGGCATGCTGAGGCTTGTGGCCAAGCAGAAATTGCACATCGTACCATGCAAGGCATTTTTTTTTTTTTAAAGTGGACACATTTGAACAACCAGTCGTAACACATCTATTCTTGTTATTCTCTTCTCTATCTCGGGTCCTCTGTGCCCTTCCCTGTCCTGCCCTTTGCCCTAGGAAACTGACCTCTACAGGCTGGACTGCTCCCTTGGCTCCCTCTCCCTGAATGGGTTTGGTGTGTGGGAGGCACCAGCCGATGGGAGGGCAGGAGGGGAGAGAAGGTGGGTGTTTGCTCCCTTCCTGCCCTGCCTTGGCTTTAGCAATGGCTGCTTTCCTAAGGCTGAAGCTCCTGCCTGGCTCCACTAACTCATTCCTTCCCTCAGCCCCTTCAGGCTGGGATGGCAGAGACTTCTCCCTGTCCCCAGCCCCAGGGACCTCACCAGCCCTGGCTTATTCCCAAGCCTGGCCCTCTCCTCTGTGGATGCCTTGCTTTGAGTATTTCCACTGAGAAGTTCAGTTCTAATCTTCTTTTATGATTATCAGTAGTAGTACTAGTATCATTATTTATAAGTACTAGGTCTTTTCTGCCTGGGGTAGTAAATGCTCTCTCAGTTGACCCCCTTAGTGTGCACAGGCTCCTGCCAGGATCCTGAGTGTGACAACATCTGTAGACCTCATTTGGCCCTGGATTCTGATCCAGTCCCCTGACAGGGTCGAGATGTTTCCCCACAAGCCTCTCAGCCAAGGAGTCATTAATGTCTGCTTGTGCTGCCCCTTCTCCCCTCTCTTGTGCCCTCTGCCCCAGGACCAGTTCTTCACCACCTGCCACTTTTGCCATTTCATTGTTTGAACCTGCACCACTTTCTTTTGGGCATGGGCTGAAATCTCTCTCGGGCCACCCAGACAGCATAGACTCTTACACAGTCTCCCTACCTGGACATCCCACCAGGACATACACTGCTGTGTACACATCAGTTGACTTTGTTCCTAGGCATCAGAGACCAAGAGGGGGCTGGGGCTGGGAATAACAGACAGAAAGCGCCCATTAGCTTTGGGGATAACTATCTCATACACTTGGCTTTGATCATGGTGCTCGATGAATTCCCCCATGCCCCGATCTTCTCCATGTGGCCCCCCCAAGATCGGGGACAAGGCTGTCAAGATCTCTTGTTCTGCCATGGCCAGGCCGAAGTCGGAGGGGGGGGGGGGGGGGGGGGGGGGGGGGGCGGGGAGGGCAGGCACAGCTCTGGCTCTAGCACCTTTTCTGGGACCCCACGAGTCTCTGTCCCTCTCTGGAACTATTTTTCTTCTTTCGAAAGATGAGGTGTTCCGGGACACCTGGGTGGCTCGGTCGGTTAAGCGTCCGACTTCGGCTCAGGTCATGATCTCGCGGTTCGTGGGTTTGAGCCCCACGTCGGGCTCTGTGCTGACTGCCAGCTCAGAGCCTGGAGCCTGTTTGAGAGTCTGTGATTCCCTCTCTCTCTGACCCTCCCCTGTTCATGCTGTCTCTCTCTCTCTCTCCCCTAGAAATAAATAAAAATATTAAAAAAAAAAAAAAGAAAGAAAGATGAGGTGTTCCATTTGGGTAGTTAATAAAGAAAGAGAAGAAAAAAAGCCAGAGTCTGATATGGTCTATATCTGGCTGTATTCTTTTCCATGGCATTTTGTCACGGTGGTAGGTTTCCGTTCACGTGTGTGATTCTCTGACAAAAGCCCTTCTTCCTGCTAGACCACAGGCTCCATCAAGGTCGACCCTATTGTTTTCCTCTGGGTGGGGTGCATCATCCGACAATAATAGGTTTTCAGAACGTGTTGGTTAAATGAATGACCGTCTGGGTGAATTTTAAAATCTTGTCCTCAGCTCAGCACGAGCAGAGACAGAGCCCAGCTCAGTCTCCCAGATCACCTGGGGACTCCGTGCTGGCCCCCAGCCCAAAATAAGACATTTAAAAGCTTCCTTGAAAAACATTTTTTTTTAATTCTTTTTTTTTTTTTCCTCGTGGCCCGTCTGACTGCCAGGCCCCCTTAAATGCCCCAGGAATATCCCTCAGAGGCTGCCCTGGTGGAACAGCCCAGAACTCTGTGAGGAGCTGCCTTGGGTTGCCTTTTTTCCTGCTGCCTCCTAATATTAACCTGGCGCGGGGCCCCCAGCCCCCACGCAATGATGGGAGGCCCTGGGCGGAGCCAGCAAACAGATCCATCTGGAAATAGAAAAATAATCCCAACACTAGCGGTTTTGTCTGGCCTCCCCAGTGGGGTGTGGAGCAGGCCCATGAAAGGGGCTTTGAGGGCCGGTGGGTGAGGGCTGTGTAAGGCAGAGCCTCTGCACCCAGCCCCAGCTGCGTACCTGTGCCCAGGCCCCCGGGGCGAGGGCCAAATCCACAGGGAGCAGGGTCCGCATCCCAGTGGACTCCCTGAGCTGTCAGAGCTCTGCAGCGCTCCCGCCTGAACCTGGAACCGTGCGACCTTGAATGAGTGGCCCAGTCTGTCTGGGCCACACTGCCCCGGTATTTAAAACGGGGGTACAAGACCTATGTCTGGGGACGGATCCCCCCGCCAGAGCACGGTGCTTGCGGGAGAGAAGGGGCTCTCTTGTAGTGTTGTTTCTGACACGTGCTGACAAAGCACTGCGCCACCCCGTGGGATGACCTTGGGAGAGCACACTGGGCCTCCGTCTTCCTACCTGCACAATGGGGACTGGCCCAGGGCCCTCCAGTCCGACAACCCCGGTGAGGTGAGGCCCAGGCCTGCTCCGAGGACGAGACACCTCCTACAGGGAGCCTACCTGGGTTCAGCGCCCGTGTAGACTAGACAGAAGGGGACGGAAGCCTCCGCCAGCTTCCAAGGAGGGCCTCTGCTGGTGCTGCTCACTATTTCCATAGTTCGGGAGGCTGGGCCTTGGCAGGAAGGGCCTCAAAGGGCCCAAGATGGGGCAGACACTTCCTCATACTCGCCCGCAGGGCTCCTGTTGCCCGCTTTCCCCGTGGAAGGCTGGGGAGGAGGCCGGGGTCTGGCTTCGGTTGCACCTGTCCGGTGTGTTTTGGGGCAGGTCGTGTCCCTCCTTGTTGATGTTTCCCAGGTGTGCACTTCATTCATTCATTCATTCATTCATCCATTTATCCATTCATTCATTCATTCATTCAGTGCACAGGCACTGACTGTCCCGATTCCAGGCCCTGTCCTTGTCATCAGAGTTATCCATAAGTGACAAAGTATTTATCGTTCATGGGGGCAGAAGGCAGGAAAGGAGTATTAGTGGGGGAGCAAGTTGGGATAAGGGAGGCGACAGTTTGGTTTTGGACGGGTTGGATTTGTGGTTCTCGAGGGACAGCTGGGGACCCGCGGGGAGCTGCAAGGACGGGAGGGAGTAGGGAGCTCGTGGAAGACAGGGATGTCCCCGCTCCCCCACACCCCTCTGTGGTGGCGCTGAAGACACAGGTGGTGACAGAAAGCATTTCTCAAGGACTCACTCAATGCAGGCCCTGACATGCAAATATCCAGTGATTTGCATATCATCTTTCAGTTAATTATCAGAAGGAACTGAAGCTGAGAGGTGAGTGTCTTTAACCTGAGAGAGACAGAGAGAGAGAGAGAGTCGCTGTGTATGGTTTACCGAGAACACCTGGGGCAGATCGAGGGCAGGGAAGGCAGGGGGAGAGGTCCTGGGAAGCAGACGCGGGCTCTTTACTCCGATGTCCAGGGGGCAGGCGCAGGCTTTGCGACCCGCGTGCCAGGCCTTGGCCTCCCAGGGCAATACTGCCCAGGGCAGGCCAGCGGCTCCTGTCACTAGGCTGGGTGCACAGCATGTAGAGGGGCCGGTGCCACAGTGGGGTGGTCCGGGCTAATGGGACTCGCAGCATCTGGGGGCTCCAGAGGGGCCTCTGGGAGCCATTGAGGGTCTGGTGAGTGTGAAGGGCCCTCCCCGCTAGAGATTCAGTCCCTGGGTCTTCCAGCGTCTCTCCTGGTCTGTCCTTGGTGTGTGTGACTGTGTGTGTGGGGGGGGGGGGGCTGTGTGTGCATGTGTGTGACCATGTGTGTAACTGTGTGTGTGCTGTGTGACTGTGTGTGTCTGTGGCTGTGTGTTTGCATGTATGTGTGGCTGCATGTGTGCTTACGTGTGCATCTATGACTGTGTCCCCTGCCCTGTAGTCTCTCTCTCTCTCTCTCTTCCCTTCGCAACAAATCTTTCTCTCAGGGCCATGTGTCTTGCTCTTTTTCTATCTTTAACCATTTCCCTCTCTCTTCTTCTGTTTGACTCTGGCTTCTCTCTCTGTCTCTCTCCTTGCTTCCGGTTTCCTTCCTGGCTCTGGCTCTCTCAAATTCTGTCCTTTTTCTACCTCCATCTCTCAGCCTTTCCGCCTCTTTCTCTCCTTTCCTGTTACTGCCCCCAGTGGGGCCTGAGCCTGCGTGGCTGGCCCGCTAGGGGCCCAGGCAGGGACTGGTGATAGGGCTGCGGAGGGCCCGCTGCCCGTACGGGGGCAAGATGCCTTGACCATGGCCTTCTGGGCTTTGTAGCATCATCTCCTTGGCTGAGCTCCTTGCTAGGCAGTGTGCATTCCTCTCCAGAGGGCCAGGCTCTGTGTGCATGTGGGTGCACACGTGTGTGTGTATGTGTGTGTGTGTGTGTGTGTAGGTGAGGGGACTACCTCGTTGGCCCCTGCTTCTGGGAAAAAAGGAGCCAGGAGATGCAGCCGCTTTTCGCCTCCCCCCACCAATTTTATTGAGCTATAATTGGCACACAGCATTCTGTAAGTTTAAGGTATGCAGAGTAATGATTTGCTAGATGTATAAATTGCGAAACGATTACCACAATATGTTTGGCGAACGTATCTATCACCTCACACAGCTCCAGTGTGTGTGATGAGAACTTTCAGGGTTTACTCTTTTCAACTTTCAAATATACAGCATTGTTAACGCTAGCCATCCTGCTGTAGATGGCCTCCCCAGAAATTACTCATCTCCCAGCTGGAAGTTTATACCCTCTGGCCACCTTCACCCACCACCGCATCCCATACCCCTCACCTCTGGAAACCACCGATCTGTTCTCTCTTTCCATGAGTTCTGAGGGTTGGATTCTACATGTACGTGAGGTCATATAGTATTTGTCTTTCTCTGACTTATTTCACTCAGCATAATGCCCTTGAGATTCATTTGTGTTACCACAAATGGCAAGATTTCCTCCTTTCTTGTGGCCAAATGACATTCCACTGTAAACAAAGATGCAATCACTTCTTTAAATTTTTTTTTTAATGTTTTCATTTATTTTTGAGAGAGAGAGAGAGAGACAGAGCACAAGCTGGGGAGGGGCAGAGAGAAAGGGAGGCACAGAACCTGAAGCTGTCAGCACAGAACCCGATGCGGGGCTCGAACCCATGAACCATGAGATGGTAACCTGAGCCAAAGTCAGACGCTCAACTGACTGAGCCACCCAGGCGCCCCAAAATGCAGCCACTTCTAAAGGGTTCGGGCCCCACCCCATCCCCAGCCATCCTTGAGCTGTGATTCCAGACTAGATTCCTCTTAGATAGCAGCCCTCATCTGATTGTACTCAAGATGGCAGGAGGGGCTCGATGGAGACCAAAGTCAAGGACGCTTTTAGACCCCTAGTTGGAGATACGCGGTCATCAGCACAAGCTACTCAGGACCCAGCCCTACAGGAGGGAAAGCCCAGTGCTCATATTTTTGGAGAACCAAGGCGTGGATTGAAGACGGGCGGGGGCGGGGGGCGGATGGATAGACTCGCTCAAGGTCTCACAAGATCAGGGGTCGATCCAGGTGCTTTTTGTACAACTGTCAGATGCCTCCTCAGACAGTGTGGCTCTTCCCTGTCCCCAGCCATTCTCAGGACCCTTCCCAGGACCAAGGGAGCACTGAGCCAATCAGTCCTCCCCAGTTACTCCTTTCCAAGCCCCTCCCCCCCAGCACGCCACATCCAGCTTTAACTTCCCAGAGGCAACCTCCTCACCGGCCTCACAAACCATGCCCATGTCCTTCCTCCAGGGCCTTTCACTCTTTGTCAGCAAAGCGTCAGCCAGCTGCTCCAATAAATCTTCCAGGATCAGTGCAAACAGATGTGTGTGAGACAATGAGCTGGGGAGGTACTAATTGGCACTGTGGTCTGCGTGCTTCTTCATCCCTGGTTCGAGAAGGTGGTCAGCCGTCAAGATGTTCTGGTCGCTGAAGTTTTGGGAAAGCTGAAATCTGGGGCTGCTTGATATTAAGTCCTGTGTGAGCTTAGAGAGGGGTCGAGGCTCGAGGGCCCAGAGGGAAAGGGACGAGACAAGTGCCTCTGATGGCAAAGAGGAGGCGAAGGTTGGTATTAGTGAGTCCTCGTTGGTGAGACACAGATGAAGCCTCAAGAGGAATGCTTGGTGTCTCTAGGGAGGCAGGGCCCAACACATCCGTGTCCCAGCTTCCTGTGTCCAGAGCACGACACCAGGTCGCTGGATGTAAAGGGACATCTGGCACTGACAATGAGGACCTGAATGACCACAGATGAGAGCAGGACAGAGAGGCCTCTCAGAATGTTATTCTGCATAGGACCCCAGGATCTTTGCATGGCCAGAACTATGGACGGCGGATGTATGGGGCAGCCTCAGTAATGACGAACACTGAATTTCCTGCCAGCATGGACTCAAAGTTGGATTTTAGTTTATTCAAAGAAAATAAAGGAAGATCTTCTTCCTTATGCCCTGAGTTGTGGACTGAGATTTAGCCTTCGGGCATGTTGAATAAATGAGTAGGATGATGAAAGAGGGATGAAGGAGACCCCCTTCCCTCCAGCTAGCAGTCTTTCCAGAGACCTTCATCTAAAGGAGCATCTCCAACAGTTGTGATTTCCAACAAAGGAAGGCCATGCAAAGACATATTTTGAGTCTGATGGGGACTTGCAGTCACCCAGATACAGCCATTCCGGGGCTAGTTGGGTAAATCAGGATGAAACCAGCTAGAACTGGGTCTAGAGACAGGCCCACCTTCTCTGGGTGCTCCAATTCTGGGTCCCTGGGGGATATACTGCCCAGGCAAACATATTTACTGCCTCCTTTTCTCTCAACCCACAGGAGTGGGTGCTGACGGGAAGCAGGGCACTGGCGCCCGCTACTGGAGCATCCTTGCCTGCACTTGGTGACGCAGACTGAGCGGGGCTGGGTGGGGGGCTGGGTGGGATTAAGTGGGATCCAAGTGAGCATATGGTCAGGAAAAGGTCAGAAGGCACGCTGGGCTCTGGGAGGCTCCAGCCATGGAATGCTGCCCTTGACAGACGGAGGATCGGTCAGCTGGCCTCACAGGGCTCCGCCATATGTAATCACTGCTGGGAATGAATGCCTCCTTGTGTGAGGTCCTTGTCTGTCCTGAAGTAGGTCACGGAATTGAAGGATCGCAGAAATCTTAGCCTCAGAAGCATAGAATCGTAGAAGCCAAAAGTCAGTGCCAGGTAGGATTCCAGAATTTTGGAGCCTCAGAGCTTGACATCAAAAGGCATTAGAAACCTGGCACGTTGGGCACAAAATTTTATGGCTCAAGTGATCTAGAACCACAGAATCATAGAACCTTGCACTTGGATGACCCTTAGGCCCTTAGGGAATCTGATGTACTCCCTAAGTACAGCGATTCAGGGTTCCCTTCTAGAAAGTTCCAGAAGGTAACGGTCTTCTTCTGATAGGCGAGGGGTTTCCAGCGAGGAAGGAGGATACAGGAGGCTTCTGTGTGGAATGATTTGAAGAATTCC